GAGAGAACAACATCATAGTCTTATAGATGGAAATCACTAGTGCAGCTGTTCCAGGGATCAAGCGGAATTTCACCACCTTCGAAACCTTAGATTTCTCTTTGGATCTGAACCTTAAAGAGCCTTAGCAGAGACGGACAGAGGAAAAGTTTTCTGTTGTTAGACAACCTGAAGCTTAGATTCCTCATAATTTACTCAAAATGAGTTAAGGTTACTTATTGATCCCCAGCCAGGCTTGTTGAATGTTTGATAATTCAAAGCTGTCTACCACTTTCCAGTCTAGCTGTGTTCATGGTGAGCTTTCTGTCAGTTGTGTGGGTGTCAACATTGTCCTTTATTTTGAAAGGGTCTTTCCTCACCTGTTATTTATTCTCCCTAGTGTGTTTATAGATAGCATCTGTCTTCCAGAGTTTGTTTTCATAAGTAAAACAATCCAAATTCTTTTAAACTCCACAGATTCACTTTCCAGTCTCTTAATAATCCTATCCTCACCACTGGATAGGGTCCCAGTGATGTCTTGGGCACAGGTGATCAGTCTTGACACACAAGTTATATTATTTTAAGACATTGCAATTACCCATGTCATGGATGGATGCTGACAGGAAGTTTAGTATTAGGAATGCCTTGTTCTTTCATATGTGCAGTGAAAGTTACAACTTGGGAGCAAGACAGGTGTCCTTTCCTGATGTGGACAGCAGTGACTCTTGATTCCTCTTAGTACTCTTGGAATACTAACGAAGTGAAATACTCCTTCTAATCAGTGCCTTTTCTTTCCGTGCTTTTCCGTATTAACGTGTTAAAAACTAAGTTTAGTCATGCTGCATTTTGCAGCAGACATAATGCTTCAGTTTCTTTCTAATGGATCTTTCTATTATAAAGATACTATTTTATTTCATCATAATGACTTTTTTTTCCTCCATGAAGTGCTTGACTTTTTGGAATAGATGAAGGAGAAGTAATGTAGTATCTTAAGGAATAACTTTTAAGTCACATTTAAGATATTTGTACTTGCATTTTTTGTTATGAGGATACGGTTTCTGCAGTTTTGACTTTGCAACCCGTTGTCATCTACAGGTGCTGGGGCCTGAATTTGTCACAGCACTCAAGTGTAGCCTTAAGTAGAGTGTGTGAGTGTGTTCATTATATTTGTTTAGACTGTCCTTTGAAAGATGTCTCTAGGCTGTCAGCCAACCTCAAAAATAACCCCAGAGCATATATACCCAGGCACTCTTGCAATGTTAGTAAGTGGCAAGGTGGTTCCAGATGGTCTGTTTGGAGGGGATATGCAGCATTCTTGTAAGGCTCTGATGTGGTTGGGCTCCCAAGGCACAGCAGTCCCAGCAGTTTCTGAGACTACACTTCTGAGAGCTGTGCAAACAAATTTGACTACAATACTGACTTCAGCTAGGAGGGCTGCTTCATTGAAAGTAGACTTCAGAAATTTAAATGTAGACATGATACTCAAGGAGTGGAGAATGCTGTGGGCTTTAAGAAGTAATTTAATTTTTTGCATTTGGTAAAGATGAAAAAGGTGGGTCATGTTTATTATCCCTATGATAACAGTTCTGAGACCACTAAGAAGACCTACAGTGGTTTTGGGTTGGAATTTGGCACTTTCATCTCTTAGGTGCTGTTGAAAATGTCATATACTGGTTTTGCTGTTACTACATGTGCTGTAAGAGTTTCTGCTGGCCACAGTGGAGTATGGGACCCTCTGTGAAACCCTGAGAGCTGGCTCAGGTGATGGCCAAGCCTAGCGCAGGATGCAATGTGGTGCCTGGCAAGTAGGAACCTGGCTTCTTAGTACGTGCCAAGGCTGGTAGCAAGCAACAGCAGCTGGGTCCTTGGAGGGGAAGCAGGTTGTATAAATGGTTTGGCAGAGAGATAAAACTGCTGTGCTGTGAGTCTGTAGAATCATATCATAAGAGATGGAAACCTGGTGAGGCAGTTTCCTTGGAATTGTTCTCCAGTGGTGGCCATGCACTGGTAGTCACCCGGTCATGCAGACAGTAGTCGGGGGGTCTGCTTCTTTCTTGGCAGCTGTTAATTGTCACTTGTAAGCCTCATATCCCAAGAGCTGCGGTCCCTAATAGGAGCTACTTGCTTGCCTGTGTCCATGGCATGGCCATGTCCCGAACTGTGCTCATCAGAGACAAGGAAAGTTGTGTTCTGCTGCTTAAACAGAGGTTACAGTGAACACTAAGAAAAATCCACTCACTGTGTATATATAATTAGTTCTTTTTAGTGGATTGGTAATACCCCATCAGATTTATTACTTTTCTAGTCAGAAGCACAGCTTACTTCATGGCTGATCTCCATTTCTTACTGTTTTCTGGCAAGGGATTCCTTTTATTTAGAATTCATGTGATTCATGGGTTACAGGCTCTTCTGTTGAAATACAGTATGTCTGCAGAGGCAGTTGTGACTGCCACCATGCTTGTAACCTAGTCTACATAAAATCCCACAAGAATCAATGATTTGAAAGAAATTCCTACCTGCTGTTGGTGTAGGATGGCCATCTGTCTGGCAAATCCCCATGTGGAAGTCGGATGCATCTGAGAAGAAACCGAAAACCTTCTGACACCTGTTTCTTCAGCAGATGTAGTTGCTTACTGTGCTTTTTTTATTTTCTCACCAGGTGCTTTTGAGATTGACCTTTAGATCTACTTTCAACAGCTTTTGCATTCTAGTCCCAGCACAGTGTACAATGGAGGATCATTCTGACGAAATCACCCTTTCTTTTTTTTGGCACAAGTTTTGGGGGTACCTAATCACACTTTAGGAAGTGCTCCTGAATCTGGGCACCTCAGTTCAGTCACGGGAGCTGATAAATACCCAACTTCTTTAGTTCCAGGAAATACCTTAAGAATTTCTGAAAAACACTCAAACTGGCTTTTAAAATCAAGTGACAGGTTCTATTTGAGGATCATTCCACATATATTCATGATCCCCCATGTAAATGGTTTCCAAGATGCAGGAAAAAAAAGTAGAAGTGTCAAAGTGGTCCTTTCTAAAGATAGTCCTTTTGTCTACTGGAAATTTTATATCTTTATAAAGTTGCAGAGCATTCTGAGCCCACATTACAAATACAAATATCTTTGGCATTCTACTCTGAATCTGTGTATGTACATGTCTACCTACTGAGATCTTCTTATTCATAAATTATCCTCAGTTTCTTTGTGACTCTCAGCTCTACTGAGACTTCTGTACCTCTAGTGTGTGCTCTTTTGTGCATGGTACACAGCATGGAGCAACAGACTTCCTTGCTGGAGCAGAAGCCATGATAATCCAAATAAACACAACCTTCTGTAGATGAATTGTATCTCCTGTAACTAAAGGTTAAGGTGTCATCTAGTGATTTATCCTTAATGAATTTGTTGGATCACTGTGATAGGTACATAATTTACTACCTTTTGTACATCATAGGTTGTGTTCTCAAAATGGTATTTACAATACTGAACAGGATGAATTACGTGTCCAATTATCAACCATCCTGTTTGACAGTCACTGCTGACAGGAATTGGGCATTTAGCAAAATGAGGCTTCTACAGCAATCTTTCAATAGGATTATTTCAAGGCTGTTGTTAATCAAACATTTCTGGAGAAAAACTGCAACATAGACTGTTGATTGCATTGACTGTTGTGCTATGACCAGCCAGATGTGAGTGGTGTGTGTTATAGTTGTTATCCTCCCTGTAAATTATTGTCAAGACATTGCCTCCTTGATGGAAAATCCAGCAAGTTATTGCAATTTGAAGGCAAGTGGCATCCTGATATAAAGAGCCTCTGGCTTAGGTGTCCCTGTCAGTATGTGAAAGGAACCTTTGAGAGCAGTAAGTGACCTCTTCAGATTTCATTATTCCCACAGGTCTGAACACATTTGCAGAAGTAAAGAGGTTCTGCTAGTGTGCAGGCATGTGTACTTTTTCAAAGTATATTCTTATCTAGAAACATTTCATGAAAGATTTCCTGTTGGAATCTGAAACTCGGATATCAGCAGAAAAGGATTATGTAGCAGGCTGTGGACGGCAGGAGCTTGGAGAAACTCCTTACTCTGAGGAGCCTCATTACAAGACTCGTTTGATTGTCCTGCCTCTTCAGCAAGATATGGAAAGACTTTGTGATGGTGTTGTCAGACCATGTAGAAACCCCTTTGTTCTCTTCCCCCCATGTGGTCCTAGCTAAGGGAAAATGTTAACTACTTGTGTAACTGTAGCAGAAAATTTGTAATCCTCTAGTTAGCATAATCTATCCCCTAGTTAGCATAACCCATCCTCCTCATTAACATATCCTGCCCCCAAGACCCTTAAATTGTGAAACGCATGTTCAATAAATATTCCAGTTTTTACCTCCAAATTGGGATCGATTAGTTATTGACCCCCACGATTTCCTTTCTACAGGTTCTACCTTCTTTATCTGACAGTTCTTGATTGGCTCTTTAGCTTGTAATATTTTTCTTGGCCATATTGTTGGTGTGTGCTGTTATGATCCTAAAACGGTATGCTTCAAATGGTGTTTTGCGGTTTGTATCTTGGCTGCTGGAGGCTTCTGTATGGCCTACTGTCTTGTCTCCAGAGAAGGCAAAATAGGTCTATTGGCACAAAGGGCCTCGTCTGACCATTTGATTGCCTCCTTTTGAGCCTCTGATCCCACTGACCTGAAGCTGCCCTTACTGCATCCACACAGGAGGAGGAGCAGGAAGAGGTGTGGCTGGGAAGCATGTCCTTTTTTGTACCTGTATTGTTAAATGGGAATTGCTGCTGCTGTGAGGAACCTGGTTTTGATCTAAGTGACTACCATGGCTGCCTATAGTGGGCCACCTGTTGAATTAGGGTTCAAATGAAAGCCATTAATTTAGTAAGTCTGTATACCTAAGAGAAGGTTCCTCACTGAGAAGGTTCTGACATAGCCCATGAAAAGGAGACATGCATCAGCTTCTCCTGTTTACACTTCTTTTCTCCTTCTTCAGTGGTGTAGCTCCAGGCAACATAGGAGACGGCAGCAGCTTATTGCATTGTTTGTGCATATGATCAAGCAGGCAAAGACAAAATGAGGACACACGATGAATTTGGCAATAGTATTCCAGGACAGAGTGGCTGGCCTTCTTAAACTGCCAAACCTTCTCTGGCATATTCTCTTGACTTAGAAATTGAAAATGCATATCAGGGAGTTATCTGTTCCTTGTGATTTTCTGCAAGAAAAAAGAAAAATCATTGCTTCAATACAGATATGCTATCCTTACATTTAAGTTCCCAGAAGGCCCCTGACTATGTGACAAGAATTACTGTCATGGATATTGCATAACGTTTTATGCATAATGTTTAATGCAGCCTCAGTTTTATGAAATATGGATAATATTGGAGCCATTTTGGATAGTAGCTTAGATTTACACTTTCTTTTAAGGTGGAAACAAGGGACATTTTTAGTGCTTTTCAATGACATAGAAGAGTTGAGATTGTTACTATTAAAAATTAATAAAACCCATAGAAGTGGAAAAGAGAAAAATATATTGCATAGATGGATTATGGGCAAATCATAAATGTTAAAGCATTTCTGGAGGTTAGAAATGCTATACCTTTATTCGAATACCATAACTATCTCAACACACTTCCTCACTACTCTGTCCAGGGTGTTTTGCTTCTTGGCTGGAAGGCTGGAGCTCAGTTTAGAGGATATAATTTTGAATAATCCTTCTTCTTGTTAAAGTGTTATTATTAAAATGAAAACATTTAGAAAAAAACAAAAAGATACTTGATGTCGATGCATGTGCAACATATGTTAAGAGTCAGCTGACTTGTATGTATTTGTTTTGTGATTTACAGGACAGCTTTCCAGCTCGATTTGGAGGAATACATTTCGTCAATCAGCCATGGTATATCCATGCCCTCTACACAGTTATACGACCTTTTCTAAAGGAGAAGACACGAAAAAGGGTATTCCTCTGTTTAATTGTCCATTTCCTGGCAGTTGTCATCAGCAGACACATCATACTCTTAACAGTGTAGATATACAGGAGATATCAGCTTGCTATTCTGTGTTGTAAAGAGTACCTTCAGCTGTTTTAGAAACTTATACAGCATTATCCTTTAAGGACACAGTCACACAGTGCACTTAAACATATTTTAAAATGCAAGCACATGCTTTCTCCTGGGTGTTATATAAAATTATTGCCAACATTAGAGATTCTATTAAGATTGTATTCAATTCCATTATATTTAATTTCTGTTAAAATTATTTGTGTCTTTCTTTTAAAAACAGTGACTAGAGAATCCTTTCCTTGTGTGATTTCCTTGACATTAGCATGAGCTAAAATACCCAGCTGGTATATAGTAGCTTGCAAATACTAATTTGGATGAAAGCAATAAAAGGAAATTTGTGTGCATGCGTCTGTGCATAAGCATGAGCAGTCTCTGAGACGTTGCTGAATTTGCAGCATTTGCATCAGTGCAATTAAATTAGAGTTGGTGGTGATAGCATATGATATTATTTCTGTAACAGGAAATTTGTCATTCAGAAAAAACATAATCAACATCATGTACAAAGCTACTACAAAGAATATGATGTTTTTGGGTTTTTTTATGGAATCAGCTCTCTAAGCAGCTCTGTATTTTCTGTCCTCAAACACAATCTACAAGGCCACAATCATCCTTAGTGTTTAGCTGTTTCTTATTAACAGATTATGCTTGAGAGGCCTCTGGTGTTCACAGGTTTTGAACTATAGATCACAAAGCCTTTTATGTAATATCTGTTATAAATATGCAAATGAAACCCCATTTTGAAGGATTCAGTTGCACTCTGTTGACTACAGCTTCAGCAAAGAACACTGTAGTGCCAGATATGTTTGAAGCCTTTTTAACTCAAGTGCTATGTATACATAACTAGGGAGTAAAGTGCAGCTTTTTGGGTGTGTTACAACATTAATATTAAGTGACAAGGCAGTTGGACATGGGTGCTTATCAGTTAGCATCTATATTTTTATTTAGACACCTGAATCAATGGCATATATTTTCAGAAGCGCTGATTTTTTACCACTGTTTTTTGTCAATACTGAATACCTATAAAAAGTAGTCAGATGATTAGATATTGATTTACAGTTCAAAATTTAGTGTCAAAATGTGAAAGTTATGACCAGCACATAAAATTTAAAATCAGCTTTAAAAAAAAATATTATTAGATCCAGAACAAATGATTGTGAAAAAAAAAACAAGCCCAAGAGAACTGTCTTTAGATTTTTAAAATCAGGCTCATTATTTATCTGTTGTCTTTATCTTGAATTATTTTGTATTTTCTTAACATCTGGTAGATTGGCAACTGATAGCTATATTCAGATAAATGCTGTACTAGGCATGTATAAAAATAATTGCTAAGAGACGAAGCATTCAGCTGAAAAGACACCATAAAATAAATTACTTTCACCATTCATATATGTTCTTTCACAGAAAGATTAAATTCCTTTCTGAGATGGGAGAAAATTACTCGGTTTGCATGGTCATATTAATTTTCCTGTGTCCACAGCTGACTGGAAGATGGGCTGCGCTAAGCAATGCAAGACAAACATATATTTGGTCTTTGACTTTCTGCCTTTTGAATTTAACTCTTGATAAATTGTGCTAAGGATATAGCTGTCCAGAGAAGTGCCTGCAAGGTGAAGTGAAATGTGAATTGGTAGCGGTTGATGTCTTGTGTGCACATCCCTGCCTGCCCAGTGGGGACCAAGAGGCAGGAGACAGCTGTTAGGAGGCAACATCCTACTTTCCCTTCTTGGCTGCTTCTGTTAGTCATTTAAAAAGGGTCCAGCACTGCCTTTCCTGCTGTTCAGTTTTATGAACACTTTCTGGCAGGGCACTGATGAGTGCCAGCTGGGACTTTCTTAGGCATTGTCCAGGAAAAATTTGGGGATGGCATGGACCAGTGAGCAGAACAAATGAGGTGAGCTTATTCTGGACATGAAAGGAATTCAGCCATATGGATGTGAGCTGTGCCATGGCACTTGCTCTTAGTCCCAAAGGGTGAATCTTGGTCTGACTTACGCATTAGTCCTGAAATAGTTGCTGTGAGCTGTCTGTGTAGCCGTACCGAAAAGCAGGCATTTCTTCCCAGTGGAAAGTCTACAGGTTTCTAGTGTCTGTGGCAGAAGGCTGCTCAAATCCAGAAATACTCTGTTGCTAGTGCTCGTAGGTCACACATTCCAGATCTCTGAGGAGAAACAATAAACATAAACATAAGTATTCATATACATATATTTCATATTGATATGCAGATATATAAATGTAAAGTACATATGAATATCAGTCTACCAAAACATTGATGGAAAATATCAAATAATCCATCAACTATTCCCTCATTGTTGTCACAGGAATTATTTTACTGTTATTACTTCATGTTTCGCAAGTATAAATGACAGTTACTAGTATGACTAAATTAAGGAAGAAAATCTTTCCAGTAGTGTTATCATTACACTGCATGCTTTATCATATTTATAGAACTCATGGCTGGATGCTGAAAGTCAATATATATTCCTTGATGTATATGGTGAATATTGTTTTTATTAATTATTTATGTTCTTAACTATTCACTTGAATTAATTCACAGAATTAGGGAGAGCAAATTACAAGAGATAGGCAGTCTATCTATCTAATCTGTCCGTCTAGCTACTAGACATCAGTTCTTACCCTCCTTAAGTCCCTTGCCCTGCAAACGTTTTAAGTCATTTATGCTTTAATCACTTTGAAGATTTATGAACATAGTATGGCCAGAGATGATATGTGCCTTCCTCCCCCACCTCTGTTGGCCCAATACAACCAGAATATTGAAACCGTACAGTATCCTCTAATAATGATGATGTCATTTGGGCTTGGATGATTTTTTGTGATACCCCTTTGTTTTTACCTGCATGTATACATACAGATATTCCTACATGGTAATAACCTCAACAGCCTGCATCAGCTAATACACCCTGAGATCCTGCCTTCAGAGTTTGGAGGAATGTTGCCCCCCTATGACATGGGGACATGGGCAAGAACACTGCTTGACCATGAATACGATGATGACAGTGAATGCAATGCAGACTCCTACAACACTCCTGCAAAGGATACAGAAAAGGACCTCTCTCCTAAATCCATGAAAAGGTGAGTTAAAGGTACTGTGGTCTTCTAGTTTTGCTATAAGATTAACATTTGCCTTCCTCCTCTTTTGTGAAGCTGCATGTTGTTCCCTCAGGCTATTATATACGAGGTCTGTTCTTTTTTTTTCACTTTTTTAAGAAGATCAGTGTTGATTAGAGACCATGACCTTGATTATTACCCATGTGAGTTGTGAACTCAGTGCAGCTGATTATTTTGTGCTGCCATATAGGTCGTATATGCAGTACTGAGTTTAGAATAAGCTCAGCCCCCTGTCCCAGCCTACAGTACTTATTAGAGAAACAGTGCTAGGTGGAGTGAGCCTTGGTGCAGAGGGTAAATTGGGGCCTATTATCCATCTGGGTGGTGAAAATAGCTCTTATCTTCCTCCATCTCATAGCCCAGTGCCTTGTATCCACCAACCTGTAGGTGCCAGGACATTTACAGCATCTTAACTGTCAATCACAGTGACTGCACACAACATGAGAAAATGTACTGAGGAGAACCAGGACAAAAATCAGTGCCAGTTGTTATACTCAAGTCTGGTAAACATTCTGGTGTTCTGATATTCTTCTCTTTGAGAAGGTACAGTATAATTGCTTGCTGCGTTTTACCATTCAAGATAAAGTATAGGAAGAGGTTAGTTACCTCTCCAGTAACTATGGAAACAGTGAGGTTATTCACTTTAGAGGGGTGAACCTGATCCAACCTTGCCAGAGGAGTAGAAGAGAAAAGGTGATATTACAATTGTGATAGAAAAGGTTGAGCAGGGAAGCAAAAGTCAGAGTGCAACTCATAAGGAGTAGGCCTAGCAATGGATCAGAAGAGAGCAAACAGGGCAGAAAACAATATAGAAAGTCATTAAGTCAGAATATGCTACGCTGGGAACCCAGTTTTAGGAGATGGCATGTGATGCAAAAGGGAAAGAAGTTCTGGAAGCAGATCAAACAGGATAAAACATTTTGAAATTCCTCAGCCAGGAAGATAATTTTGGATGGAAAATGTTGCATAGACTGAGAAGAACAGTGTGGTTTTAAAGGGGGATATTTTTGTGGAAACAGAGAGGAGATAACATGAGATTGCCATAGGAATAAAAAAAAGAAAAAAAACCAGTGAAGTTTAAGGATTTTGTGTGGAAAAAACCTACGGTGCATTGAAAGTGGGAAGTAGCAAGAAACTGATAGGAATGAGCTAGGATAAGGAGAAGTTAAGAAAGGTTCTGAAGCTGTATGACAAAGATGTAATTAACACAGTTAATGGAGAAAATGGGACAAGGGAAAAGAGCCAGGGGAAGGGGAAAGGTGAACAATACACTTGAATATGATTTGCTTGTAATACAAGAATTATGAGACAATAGAGAAGCTGTCTTTGACAGAAGAGTGGAATTAAAGAACTGAAATGCAGAAGTTTTACTGTTGTAAAATGAAGTCACAAGAGTAAATAACTTCATCCAAGGGTGCAACAAAAAAAAGAATATGAGAAGGTCTGTCACAAGTTCCTTTGGAGAAGACCCCTTGGAGCAGTTTTTCAGGTTATTCTGGGCAAGCACATTGCTAAACAGAAAATCAGTGAGTTGACCAGATTCTTCATTCTTTCTGAAATAATTTTTATTCTCATTTAACTTGTGCTTGAAAAACCTTTCATACAGAATTACACTTCAGTGTAACCTTCAAATTGACATTCTTTCAGTCTGGATGAGCTGACACAGTAGGTTACCTACTGCAGAAAAATAAGCATGTTGAAATCTGTGTCTACATAATATTAAGCTGAAATTTCTTCGCCTTCTTTGCATTCTTTCTCAGTTAGCATGCCTCCAGCACCTGCTGCGTTGCATATAAAAAATACTAAGTAGACTTACTGTGCTAGTGCCAAGTAGTAAGATGGACAGAAAGTCCTAGAACTTTGGTATATTAAATGCACAAATTGTGTAAAATACTAATAGAAAAATTAAGATAAAATAGATAAACTATTTCATTAAAATTAAATTTAACTTGAGTTCGGCACCTGATGTGTTTTCTCTCTCAGTTTGAAACCACAGTCAGTATGGTATGTTAGTGCAGAATAAGATTTTTAACATATAAAAACCATGACAGTAAGTCAGTGAAAAGTGCTGAACTTAGAGCAAATTTCATAAGTGTCTGGCAGATCTCCAACAATCACCTTCTTTAATTTGGCTTGCCATTTTAAAATTAGTTTACTACTCTGAAACAATGTTCTTCTTAAACCAAAATCCTACTGAGAATTCATTTCTTTCTTACTCATTTTTACCCCATAATATATTTTTTACCCCACTAACATTACTCCAGATCTTCTTGAAGTTTTGGTGAATTGGATGACCTCACCTTGAAAGGAAAGTTGATTGTGGGGAGTGTCACTGAAAACCAGAAAAAAAGCTCTCCAACCAATTTTCTAGATTAGAAAGCTGACATTACTTTATAAACAGTGCTGGGTACGTGGGGATTGCTCCTCAAAGCATGCATCTGCAGCAACCTAATAGACATGGGTATATTCATGCAACTAATATATATTAGTCACATTTTTATTGCACATTCATTACATTTCCTGAATAAATGCATATATGCTAATTATTTCTGTGGACTTATTTGGCTATGGTTTCAGATCTTCTAGTGAATCTTTTCTCCTTGAGAGTATCTCAAATATGTGACCAGGTCATAATGTACTTCTCTTATCATTCTTTGCTCTAACACACAATCCTTGTTCTCAAAACTAAGACATCTGCTAGTATATATTAACCAATGATATAGGTAAATAAGGAAGCAATAGCTGGCATAAGACTATTAGTCACAGATGTAGAGATCAAACACTGTTTACTAAAGTTAAAAGGATTTTCCAACATCTTCCCCCACTGCTGCATAGACTCCTTTCTTAAAAAATATAACTTGTTTGGTAACAGGAGGGTGGTAGAGATAAGGAGGAATGAATCCCATCTGTAGCACAGACCTCTGGGGAGAACATGTTGATATCAAGTGGCACCATTACAGCTGTTTCAGCAGTCAGGTTTAGCTTGTGGCTGTGCTCGCCTATGGCTGTCATGGCTGATGCACCCAGCTGGAAACTGCATCCTCTTCTCACCTAACCCTACAAGGCAAATGTCTCTGTTGATAAACTGCAGAGTATCTGTGGTTTGATTCCTCACCTCTGCAATGGGACTTTGTAGTACAACTCTGCCCTGCTTTGTTTTCCTAGAATTTATTCAGTAATGTTTTTAAAGTTATTTGGGAGCTATAGATAGAATAGGGGTACTATAGACTTACACAAATTTTTTTTTCCTTTTACATACATTCATTTGTGAATTACTGTGGAATGGAATGAAACTTCAGTAAGTTTCTATTTAAAACTGAATGAAAACTATTTCTTCTTCAAGGCATTTAGGCACCTGAGCTTACAAACCATAGATCAGGGTTTGTGTAGTTCAATTTTCACACCTGCCGTGGCATTGGGGATTTTGGAGTCCCTGGGAATTTATGGCCAAAGCTCCCTTACTGGGAATTTGAGACCAGGTTTGCAACCATTCCAGTTCCCCTTCAGTTCTCCGGATGGGAAGTGGAAACCCTGGCTGCTCAGTCATTGGCAGTTGAGGAAAAGGCTCAGTTTTATTACTTATATTCAGTTGGCAATCCTTTGAAATTAATATGCTTCCACAGCAATTTTTATCATGATGAACTGGATTTTCCATGAGTGCAGCTTCCCACCAGCAAATTTTCAATCAGCTTTGCATCGGCACGGTACATTGTGAAGATTTTAAAAAAGCATTTTGAATTCAGTGGTTTCGTTTTCTGCCTGAGGAAGTCACTAGTGTTCAGGATGAGTGTTATTGTACAGTTTTAATTAAAATTTTTTAAATTACGCTTATCACAAGAGAGACTGTCATATTTTAAAACTAATTTTCTTGATTTTAGCATTAGTAGGAGAATGTGATAAATATTATTAGAAAATATCCTTGTTTTTAAACCTAGGCTTTAGATATTTTTTTTTAGATTTTTTTTCTTGTGTTTTTGTAAGCTTTCTTCAGGGTCTTTGAGAAAGTCAGATTGTCTCCTGCTATCAGCCTCATTTGTTGGTTTAATTGATGATGCCAGTTTATAAGAGTGGAGGATTGACTCCGTATGTTTATCTTAGGAGAGTTTAGAATTGATAAAGGTTTTTCTCTGCACTGTAGCTCTCCAAATGGGCAAATTTGTAGCAATGCTGCAGGCGCAGTGTGCTTCCACTGATCTAAAATAGATGCCTGCATTGTAGAGCTGTATACATGCTCTTTAGCCATCTCAAATCTTCTTTACAGAAAGGAAGAGAAATGGGAATTTCCTGCATGAGATTCATCTCACTGAAGGAAACATTTGACAAGAGTTGCTTTTACTGTACCCCGGAAGTGATTCTGATTTTTGACAAACTGAGACATAGCTGATGTGAGACCCCATCTTAACACTTCAGACTTTGTTTCTAATGGAGCATTTTGACTTTGCTGGAGGCTGGGTTTTCTTCTTTGTCTGTCACGTATGGCTGTTGCAGGGTACCAGCTATGCTTCTATGCTGGACCTAGAGAAATTTTACAATCATCACTGAATTTGCCCTTATCATCCTTCCCTGCCCTGTTTAGTTGAGTGGGTGAGTTTGACAAATTTGTCCACCGCTCCAGAAATACTGCTAGCCATGGCAGTATTCCCTAGAGTTGACTTAGTATCTTGCACTGTTGAATTTAAGTGCTATTCAGAAAAGGAGCAACTTGTGCTTCCAGCTAACACATCCCACTAGCTGCAGTGTACCATTACCCAGCTGGGTGGCTTCTTTACCAGTCCGGTGCCATATACCTTCTGGAGAGAGGCTCAGTACTTAAGTCAGTACAAAGAATAGCTTAGTTTGCTCTTCTGTGCTGAGGATTCACCCTGCTTCACAATTTCACTGAAGAAGACAAGATCCGCTTTATTCCACCTTTTGCTTCTATATTCACAAATCAGCACAGAGCCCTTTAAATCCATGTTATCCCTCCATGAGCGTATTTCCTGACCATTTGCAGTGATTAGGTGCTTGGGTAATGCTATACCATTATTTTTAAGCCCTGACAGACATTAAAATAAACAAAAGAAAGCTGAGGTTTACCCTCATTTGTTGTGATCCAGAAATGTCAAATAAACATGTTGTCCCTCTGCAGGTCTCAGTCAGTTGTGGATCCTGGGGTGCTGAAACGCATGGATAAGAATGAGGAAGAAAACATGCAGCCTTTGCTTTCACTTGACTAACAGTTTTTGAGCATTGGACATGAACTGAGGTGGAAGGCACTGCCTCTCAGCAACAAGCAAACCACTGGGAGTGTAACAGCTGGAATCCTATTTACTTATGTTAATGTAGCATAATGGCAACAGGTTTTACTATTCTGCCTGAATTCTGGATGCCCTTGGGTGAAACAGAAGAGGAGAAAAAAAGAAAATAAAAGGAAATGAAAAAAAAAAAGAGGAAACAATAATTTATTCTGTAAGTGCCAACTTGTTTGTAAATACAATATAATCCTCAAATTTGACTCTGTAAGTTATGGCAAACAAGTGCTATGGAAATGAGTGACTATTAAATATGTCAGTGAAGTGCACCATAAAAAGAGAAGAAAACATGTGTTCTCTCTTACACACACACACACACAGAGAATACATACTGGACAAAGAAAAATATCAAAGCCAATTAAATGTTGTCCTTCTAATAGGAAGCCAATGAGCACATTGACTACTGTTTTTTTTTTCTGCCATGCTCGTGTAACTGTGCAAAGATAAAGAGGGAATATAAGAACTTGGGAGATTCTGATGAATGTTTCCTAACTCTAGGAATTGGTTTCCCAAATAATGTTGTGATTTAGGATTGTGATACAGCAAAAACCATGTAACATCGTGAAAAAGATAACAGATGAACTAGAACCAACACTTTGATAGCTTTGTTGTTTAGCTATGTTGTATGGACCTCTGAGGTTTCTTCCTTAACTTTTCATTTACGCAAGTAACCTGGTTTGTTACCGTAATCTGGGTGTTGTAATTTGGGACACATTGGAGTTACTTCTCTTGCATTTTGGGTGCATGTCAACAATTTTTCCAGAACTCTGTTCTGCCTTAGAACGAGACATTAGTCCTCCAAATACAGTGTGATAACCAGTATCTGAAAGTAAAGCCTGGCAGCAGAGGTTAAAAGTCAATAACTGAATCCTGTGTACTGGGAGACTGGATACATATATATATTTTTACCAATCTCTGACAAGCATACAAGGTGACATTGTTAGATAAGTATATTTCATTGAAGGTTTATACAAGAAATACCTATTCAATGTACTTAGATATATTATATTGTATATTGAGACAATGTCATTATTAATATAGTAAAACTTACCGTAGAACAACAGCATCCCACTCCAAGCAAGGATTAATATGAATAAGTTGTAGTCAAACATCTCAGCCTATGTGTTTAGGACACCTTTGTTTTTGTTGTAGTGTAACTGTATATATTGAACATGTGCCATAATAGAGAAATACATTTTACCTCAAAAGGGCAACAGGTTTCACTAGGGATTGGGTAAATCAGCTGAAATGCATGGACTGTGTCATCTTTGTGTGCTGGTTAATGTGTATGCAGCCCATGGTAAGCTGAGGCAAGAATGTAGTTTCTTATTAGGACTTTACAGTCAGAGTGGGAAGACACACAGGATGCCCAGCAAGGCATCTGAATAGTTAGAGGTATTATAAGAGCATGTTCAGGCAGTGCAAGGATTAGTTAAGGAAACACTGACAGTGGAGGTGGTAGCTCACAGCAACCCTGCCTCCCAAGCACCGGAGTTTAAAGAATTTCTTCAATTACTTCAGTGATTACTGAAGTTTCAAAGTCACTGGTTGTAGGTTACCTCTCCTTGCCCAGCATGATTAAAAAACTGTAAGATTTAGTAGGCTGATATGAGTTAAGAACAGACAGTGAAATCTTGACAGGGTGTCATCTAGAGTTTAGCTGTAACTCCTGTGGTGGCAACTTTGCATTTCTCAGGGCTTGAGACAGCCCTGACTCTTCCAGCATCACCCTTGATTAGCCCAGACAACACACAGATAAAGCTTTCCTACTTTGCAGTTCGTTAGCAACGCTGATAAATAGTGTATGCCCTAACATGCCATCACATTGCAGGAACTTGTCTGAACAAGTTATTGCCTTTCTGCTCTCCTAATTCTATTTTCATGATACGTGTTATGAAATGCAAAGAGAAAAGATACGGAGCCTGAATGTCTTATCAGTCTGTCCTACAAGTTGTCAGTACTAGAAAGTGTTGTAATACTACTTCTATGGTTTGAGAGACTTGAAAAAATGATCAATCCTTATATACTATTTTGTTCAGTCCTGTTTTTCTCATTCCTTGTAACATCATGCTGGATAAGTGAGATGTGCATCCAGGATTTGCAAAAGTGCCATATTTGAATGTATGCTGTATATGCCCACACTTCTGGTTAGTAGAATAGCATATTGTCATTGATCTGATTTTTAAATCCTTATCAGATAAAACTATAACATCAGTAGAAGTTTTATCCTTTTAAGGGCTTCAGGATTTAGTCAGTATTCCACATGTATGCAAACTGTGACTCAGTGGTGATCAATATCTTCATGAATCCTTTTAGAAACATGGGCTAGACTTTGGTGTGAGACAGCAGAATGCTGGTTTCAGAGTACAGCAGCTGTTTGGTCAGAAATTGCAATTCTGCTCCACTGTATGGAGCTTAAAATTTGGTTTGAAGCTTATAAATTTGTTTTCTTTGTGAATCCTTTATTTATGCACTTAAATGTAATTTATGTAATATTTTCTCATGCCTGATTTCAACTTCAAGTTAATGAGTATTATTACGTTCTTTCCAGAAAATACAAGTAGGATATATTATAATTTTGTGTAACTGGGACCTCATCTTTCACCGTGAACAAAATTCCTTTTCCAATGAGGTTCTCTCTGTTAAAGAGTTGGGCTACAGGTCTTCTTGGCCGCAGCTTTTATTTCACTGAAGCAAATTCTGACAGTGGTAATTGCAGTTGTGACTTTGGATAAAATATGAAAATGGGTAAGAAAAATAAATATACTTTACGCATTGTCAGTATTCTTTGAAGGCATTTCTCTTTTACACATCAGGGTACATAAAGGGTAGATTTTCTTGTAGAAAATCTTTATAGGTAGGTCAATTTTTATTAGATTAAATTTGGACTGAAAACTTTTTCCAATGTTTGTTATCATAGAAATTGCTGTCTAATTTTTATAGCAGAATTGAAGTGCTAAAAATAGAATTCAAATGCTTGGGAGTATTCCTCTTAATTTCTTACCTTTGTTGTGTATTGGGTAGAATAAAACCTTTTTGTAATTATGCATGCTGATATGCATATAAAAAAATATCCTGCAATATGAGGAACTTAGTGGGAAAACTGGATACACTTGTCCAAGTAACTATGCCAAAAAAAAAAAAAAAAGAGGAGAAAAAAAAGTGTAAAAATTTATAGTTTTGGGCCTTTGATAAGATCTAAAAGTATTGCCTTACATGATGTCTTTTCCAGGAAATAAATGTTAAAAAATATATGGAAAAGTTATGGAAACTTCCATGCCCAAAACTTTCCTCTTGTAAAGAGATGTCAATAGTCTGTTGGCTTTATAGAGACAGGTAATCAGACCCACTAAGCTCCAACAACTACACAGAATCCCAATAGCTATTCACTGTAAAATAGTTTGAGATGTCTTTACAGAAATGTAAATTTACTGTATAGCGTATTTAAAAAGATGTTTTGCACTCTACAAACATGCTATGCCTAGTCACAAAAGATATTTGTAGAGGCATATGTAAATTGAACACATAATTAAAGAAAATAGGCATAAAAGGGACCTCAAGAGGTCATTGATCTGTGGAGGAGTAGATTCACTTTAATGTCACTCTCAAAGAATTGTTTTAACTCAGTACCTTGCATGGAATGCTCTTTGTATTATTTAATCACAGTCACAGCAAAGCCTAAGCACATCACCTGACAAAACTGTAACCTGACAGTATTCACACCTTTTATTATTTTCCTGTTCTGTTTTGGAAATTAAAGTTTGTCAAACATCATAAGAACTACCATTTAGAATTACTTGGAAAACACTTTGGAATAAGCTTTGATCATATCCCTGTTATTATATTGTTTCTGTTATTATTGATGTATGTATTTGTCAAGCTTTTTGATAAAGTTATATTTGAAAGAGGATACAAGAGAGGAAAAAAAATCAATCAGGCTTCAGGATTTTGTTTAGAATATTAAAATGTGATTTTGGGGGGATGTTAATATTGGTTTTGATAATTTTTAATTGCCTATGGAGAAAGTTCTGCTGAGCTATCAACAGCATTGGGTACCAGGACAAATTTGGAAGATAAATATCATTGTGAAAGACAAGAGCAAAGGAGCTGTACTGAAAGAACAATCAAATGACTGGCTGTATCAGGTCCTTCTAAAGGAAGGTATTTTGCAAGTAGCTTACAAGCATGGTGCTGAGAATAGTACTTTTGTCAACAAACGTAAAAGCACACTAAGAAATTGAGAAAATAACAGTTATCGCACTTTCTCAGGTAGCAAAACAGAAACACAGCAAGTTAGAGACATTTCTCAATGAAAGACGTTCCCATTGTTTTTCTATACGGCAAAGATGTAATCTCTCAGTCTGGTTTTAACTGCAGGAGAGAAAATAATGTGTCCCTATTTTGTGTAAGAATGTCTGGTTGTTGATTCATTCATGCTTACATCGTTTAGAATGCTTTACCATGAGACCTTTGCAAACTGGGGATGATCTTTCCTGTGGCTTTAAATCTGAATTAACATTTTGCTGAGGAAATGGCAAAAAGGGAGCATGTCCCCCACATGAAATGCCTTTCTTCTCTTTTTAATTGTTGGGGGGGAAAGTAATTTAGTCTGAAGACTACCCAAAGGAAATCGTGGCTCCTCGGTAAAGAATTCTGAACTTGGCCAGGGATGAAACAGGATACTTGTTTCTCATTAACTATACAGGGAACATCAGCATTTTATTTAGAGGCATGCTCAAGTGACCACAAATGAAAGTACAAGCCAGGTAGATAGGAATCCCACATCCTGTATTGCCTTGTAACTCGGAATGATCTTGTGTCAAGGGTCTCTATTTTGTAGATTGACTTGGACATTCCCTTCAGTCTCCATTTCAGCTTTCAGTTGTGTGGGAATTTTTTTCCTATCAGCTTTTGGGATCTTAATTTGTTTCCTTCATGTGGGTCTGTTGGCACAAAATGGTATTGACCCCTGTTGGATTGCACAATTTGCAAAGTGATTTTGTTGTTAAGAAATAACAAGTTGTGCAATGCTGGGCAGTGGTGAAGTTCAAACATGGGTCACAAGCTCCCAGTACTTTGTCACTCCTTCTCCAGTGTTTTGTGTGTGTGTAAACTGCTCTGATTGATGTGTGTTAGCTCTTGCATTATGTTAATTTAAAAAGAGAGAAAACAGAGAAGTTTCTGCAGTGAGTTCAAAATCTGAATTGGTGGTATCACTGTGGAATCCAGAAGGAGGAGGAGCATTGCACATAGGCAAAATGAAGAGCTCTCCAAGGAAAAATGCTGGTAATTCCTTATGGTACACATGTTTTGTTAAAACATGGCCAAAGGATTTTGTCTACAAGGGTCGGTAGTCAACCAGAACTGTTCTTTCTGCATCAGTTAGCATCAGTCATTTACAGTGAATCTTCTCTATTGTAGGTGTGACAAAGCTTCCTTTTGGTGTTAGCAGAGAATTCACTTCCAGAGAATTGACATATCTGACAATTTGAAGCAGACAAATGGCAGGGGTTAATTAGGATTTGTGTTTGATATGGAAATGCTGCTGTGATTCCTTAAAGAGGCTGTCACATCATCAACAACACACAGCAGTACCTAAAGGCAGGCATCTCAAATCAGATCCCTTGGTTAATAAAGATTTAAGGGGAGAAAAAAGCAAGGGAAGAGACAATAGAGGATGATAAAACACAATCATTAAAATAAAAAAACAGAAGCAGGCCAGCAGTGAAAAGGTGTATGAATGGGAAAGATAGTGTGATAGAACTTGTATTAACACTTCCAAGAAATGAATCAGTAGCCTATTGTGTGTCCACCCTCTACATTATGAACAGAGTTTCCGTTTCTTACATGGTCCACCATGTATGGCCATGATGGAGTTCCCTGAATCTTTAAAAAATGTTTGAGTTACTGTGTGAAATGGCAGGTGCTATAGCTGAGCTTATGAACATGGTTTAATGAATCAGTGCACACCACCAGAGCCTCACTTGGAGATGGGCCCCAGAAGTATATGAAATGCTGTATCCTGCTTGGCTGAAAAAATCGTGGAGGGAGAGAAGGAAAGGAACCCCATGGCTGTAAGGAAAGGTGGCAGGCCTATGGAGAAAACAACACTGTGAAGTTGGAGTGAACTGATTGACCATTTTAATGGTAAGGGAGGCTTTCACTTGCTCGGTAATATAAGAGAGGACTTAGAAACCCCATGACACATCTGTCAGCAGAAAGGAGAGATAACATATTTCTCTCCCACAGAAGCCCAGTTACGATATTTTTAAACCTGGTGCATATGGTAGACCTGAACTGCCTCTGCTGCTGCCGATTCCACAGTGACTGCCAGGATATGGGTATCATGTAGCATGCAGGAGCTGGAAAGCTAGTGTTCACCAACCTGTCCATAGGAACAGAAGGGAGGAATATATTCTTCAAGTCCCTGCTGCAGAGAAAATTTTGTGGGAGAATTCAGCACTTGCTTGCATTAAAGCCTGTCTTGCCTTGACATCAGTATCAGCGCCTACTCTGTGTGGAAAGCTGTAAGTGGTGTGGGAATCTCCCCCACAGACCTCGGTGTCTCGTGCTAATTATGCAGCCTTCAAGCTATAGCTGGTGATCTGTGTCCTGTGTCTTTAAACAGTGCTGATGGTGATGTTAATTGTAGCCATTAGTCACTCAGAGTGAAGATGATTTAAAGGAAACTGACAACTTTAAGCATTACACTTAATGCCTAAGAATATTAAATTGGTGATTGTTACAAATAATGCCTAAGATTATGATAACTTCAAGGGTTTCAGGGTTTGGTTCAGATTTAGTGTATAATCACTCTTCCTTAAATATGATTTTCCCTGATGTTTATGTGCATCTTTGATGCATCAATAGCAGAATGAATTAAATAGTAGAAAATGTGATTCTAAAACTACAAATATATTCAGAGGGGCACATATAGAATACCTGACATTATTTAAAAAATTGTTTGCAGTTAACTAGTGTTCAACTTGAGAATAATGGCTCTTCTAAATCATTTGATTCTCTAGCTCTTTCACCCTGTGGACTGTTGTGTGAAATGTGTTCTACAAAACATTTCCAGCTCTTCATCCCTTCTCCTACCCTCAACAACATGCTGTCTGCTGTATGTACTTTATTCTAGGAATAACTGAAGAAAACTATAAAAAAAACCCCCAACACATTTATAATCTGCAGACTAGATCTTGAGGACCAGTATTTTAAATATTTCCCTTGTTCAAATCTCTGGTAACAGCATGAAATGGAAAATGAGAGCAAAGGCCGATTTCATCATAGAGGAATATAAAGAGTCTGGTTAGGGATCTGCACATGTGTAGATAGAAAGTCCTCTGAGATAGCTCTTGTGATGTAAGATGTTACCTTTCCTGGACTGTTGTCACTCTTCAGGTAGATCCTACTGCCCCAAAATTTAAGCAATAGCAGATTATAGAAGTATGCCTGTCCCAATGAAGGCTGTGCACAAATCATGCTAACTGTTGATTCTACACTCATGCAAGTGCAAAAGCACTCACATAGTCTATTAATACAACTCTGTTATGAGAATAATGATTAATAGATAGTCATGGCGACATTTAAAATTGCTAAATTGGCAGTCTGTGCCTTAAGGCTCTTGTGATCTGTCGTACTTGCATAAAAGTAATGACTGAATAATTTTTTGGGTTGGTTTGTTTGTTTTGCATGCAACAATCTACTCTGGAGCCTTATGGAAAATACTATAGCACCAAATCAAAATTCAAAACTAAATAACAGGAATAGTTTGCAAACAGTGCTTGTATCCTCAGGATAAAATTCGTTTGTTTGGTTCTCAGTTTAGTACTGTTAGGACTCAGGGGGTCTGAGATTTGTAAAGCCAGGACAAGTTTATTAATCATGTTCTTTCTCTGTAAAGTTTCAATAACTACTCTCTTTTCACAAATTGTTGTCAGTTTAAATTTTATTCTTGGACCAAGTGAAATGGTTACTTTTGGTCTGTTGTGTTCCAACCTAAAATCTGAAGATAAAGCAACTTTGTGAAACATGTCACTCTTTATATTGTGTATTTAAATATCATCAGTTCTCTGTGATCAATAGGCTGCTTTGGAGAGTACTACTACTTTAAATCATCATTGGTTATTGAGGAAGAATGACATCCTGTTAAATAAAATATGACCAAATGAAAATTAAAATACATATATATTTTTGTGTTTGTACATGGGAGTGTTCGTGTGTCTTCCTTGTGCTCATATGTATATGGAAGACATTTTACTTCGATGAACTGCACTTGATTTTTATATGAGCATTGAAAGAAAAATAACTGAGTGGTATGTCAGCATGTAAGTCTAGTAATCCTGAATAATGTCTCTTTTCAACCAGCAGTAAGTTTTAGAGAGCTAACATATTTCACATTTACAGTACTGTTGTGAAATTTCACTTCTTGGAAGTGACCTCTCAGATCAAGATCATGCAGATATGCAACACAAGAAAGGCTCATTTCCCCCTCAAAGATATTTCCTAATCTCCTACCTCTTAACTTCATCTTTACTGTGTTCCTTAGCATCATCTCATGTTTATTGACTTTTTTTTTGATGCCACATAAGGGAGAAGTGATATTAGCTCTGCACAGAGATGTCCCTTTCTTCAGGAAAACATTTCTGTTCTCAGGAGAGAATAACCAGAGTAGGACAGAACAGACTATGTGACATTGAAGGAGTATCTGCAGAATGACCACATTTCATTCTAGATTTTGTTTTTTTCATGGGAGGGGGGGACCCAGTAAATGATAGTCATGTGTTAATGTGCTTCTTTAATGTCCTTTTTGTAGTATGCCTTACTTTAGACACGAGGACACTTATTTACATCTTCTGTACATTTTACATATCTTACCTTTAGTTTACACAGATTAAGCTGCAGTAGCTTCCTGTTTCACACATAATCTCAGTGGTATATGCAGATACATTTCTAAGGCCAACACTGCAAGGTATAGTTTCCAAAGAAGTAAAAATTTTCCAATCGACATGTTGAAAAAATATCAATGGTATCTTAGCTAGTCCTTCATCTCCCAGGCGCTGTGTTGTTGTACACAGTATATAAGCCATTGCTGCACAAGGGTACATTTCATCATTACAGCTATAAAAAGATATATGTCAATACAACTCTGTGCTCCCTTTAAGATCCCTACAATATTTAGTTATAACCACTATTCATTTGTATGTTGCCAGGCTGCTTTTCCCTGAAAACGGTGTGATCCCAATATGTACATGTGTGCGTGCCTGTGTATGTGTGTATGACTGTTTGTTTCACCCCATCTCCCATCTTGGACCCCTTTCACTAATGTCAGCTTTCTTCATGGAAAAGACAGAGGCCTCAAAACTCGCATCTGTGTTGACATGTGCCAGCACCTTGTGACGTACTCAGCTTGCCTGGCCCTGATATGGAAGCTGGCTGGAGCATCCTGCAGTTCACATGTGACTCCTGCACCTTCAGTTCCTACCAGATGAGACTAGGATTTGGGCTGGAGGATGGGGGAAAGAGTACCAGACCTGCCTTTGTCCTGAGGGAACTGGGTAGCAATAGGGACCTACACAAGGGCTATACAGACAGTTTATACATGTAGTACCATAAAAGTAGGTGGGCAGAAGAATGCTTTTTGCTCCCTAATGGTGAACAGAGCGAGCCCTTGCTGCCAGGCACCAGTGTTTCTGTACAGGCAGGAGTTCATACACAACTTCCAACCAAAAGAATGATGTCAGTGTAACTGCCATTGGTGTAGTGGCATGGTCAGGAGGACGTGCAGGAGTGGGGGGGGGGGCTCATCTTTGGAAGTAACTACCTATCATGCTACCACAGCTTTGGTGCAGCCTACAATAGCACTGTAATGGTGAAGGTTACAGGAATGAATAGTGAAACTGGGAGCTGTGCTAATAATTTCAATAGTACCGACAGTGTTTACATAAATCTCTGAAGTGTCTATGGAGCACAATATAAACACAGTAAGTTTTCAGAAAACTGAAAGCTCTGGGCCAGTAGCAAAAAAGTATTTTTTGTTATTGCCTTCCTGCATCTTGGCAGTGCTGGTTTCATTCTCATAAGATGAGTAGTGGGGGGAAATAGCCCTTGGCCTTCTAGACTTACAAATGGTTGGCTAGTCAAAAACCCTTGCAGTACCTGAACCCTGACCAACAGCATCTGTTCCCCTCTGGATAGATTACCAGACTGTCAAGAAATCTTCTTCCCATCATCCATCAGTTAACTGTTGAAAACTGTGGAGATTAGCAATTAAGAAAGTGTCTATGTAGAAAAAATATGTCACAGTGGTCAAAATGGAGAATTTGTTTCTTTTACACAATCATTCACTTCTATTCAGATATATAACTTTCCAACTTTTGTCTTTTGTGAAAAATTTAACAGAATCACAGAACCACAGAATATGCTGAGTTGGAAGGGACCCACAAGGATTATCAAGTCCAACTCTTAGCCCTGCACAGGACCATGCCCAAGAGTCACATCATATGCCTGAGAGTATCATCCAAATGCTTCTTGAACTCTGTCAGGCTTGGTGCTGCTCCCTGGGGAGCCTGTTCCAGTACCCAACCACCCTCTGGGCGAAGAACCTTTTTCTGATATCCAACCTAAACCTCCCCTGACACCTTGCCTCTTATCAAATTCACAGAAAAAAATATTAATGAAAAAATAGTAATGCAATATCATTGTTTAAATTTTATTTCCAGTAGTGGTAATGCTAAAGAAAACAATCATATTATTTGATAGCATTATTTTTCATTTCAATCTCTGGAAATACATACTTTTTTTTTAACAGACATGTAATTTCTTCCTCATGAGCAATGAATAGAGAATCAGACTGATCTTAACCATATCCCATTCCAAATAAAGATTAACACCGATGAAGCAGCAGTTGGAATGCTGATCTTAATGGTACTCTTTTTTTAGGTTTTGATGTATAAACCAAAAATTTATTAAATTTGAATATGAAATATGAAGCTTTCAATTAGTTTCTAAATAACCACAATAGAGGAAAATGACAACAACATATTCAAGACCTTTACAATTATTTCTTTGTCTTTAATACATATGCACTTCATATGCCTGCATATATACTTCATATACATACATATACAGTTCAGATCAACATACTACAAACAAAGAAAATACCCTGAAATCTGAAAGTGCTCAGAATAAAGTATGAGATACAACTCTGCATTATACTATCAACTGGATTTTTGTTTTTCTATTAAGGCTTTACATTATTATTATTAGATCATTTTAGTGCTCATATAAGAAAGACAAAGCATCTTGTTTGCAGGGAAAAAAAAGAAAAGAGACATGGAACTGGCACACCACAACTTATCTTTCTTAATTTAATTTCTCATTCACGTGACTTTCTTTTCCTCTTTAAAAAATATGTAACCATGGATCTCAGCCCATGTGGTGCATCAAGTTAATGCACCCCTGCAGAAAAAGGCTAAACCATAACAGCTTCTTATGTTATTATAGAGTCATTAAAACCATTTGACCTAGAGTGTATTTTGAAAAAAATTATAGATGAAATTGATCATGAAACAGAGATGCAACACCAAAGATAGTGTTTGCAAAAATGCTTGCAAAGATATCTGTCAGGTACACAGTCTCTTCAAGAGGTGTGGTTTGCGGTCACTTTAGTTTGTGATGGTGTTCAAGCTCCAGAATTAAAGATGGGAAAAGGAATATATCTGCTAGTAATACAAGGTTTTACACAGGCAGATAGGGGTAGGACAAGGGGGAACAGTTTTAAACTAAAAGAGGAGAAATTTAGGTTAGATGTAAGGAAGAAATCCTTTACTGGGAAGGTGGTGAGGCACTTGTAACAGATATGGGTGCCTCATCCCTGGAAGTGTTCAAGGCCAGGTTGGATGGGGCTCTGGGCAACCTGGTCTAGTGGAAGGTGGGCTTGGAACTAATGATCCTTAAGGTCCATTCCAACCCAGGCCATTCTATCATTCTAAGATTTATCCTACTCATATCTCACTATGATAAAATTACTTAATTATAAGGCTTTAATAAAACACAGAGGCAACTGCAGTGTACTGTGGATAAATTAAAATTCAGTCATTAACTGAGACTGACTTTAAGACATTAGTTCCTATGAGTAGCATCCTCTGCCACTTGATGTTTTTGTGGAGGATCTTGCAGAGTTTTTCAGGAAAGGTTGGAATGTAACCTACTACTATTGCTTCTTCCCTCTTTAAGATGTCCCAGGTTCATTGCCTTTAAATTTCTCTGCTAATGTCCTTGCATTATGAAAGGAAACGGGTGGATCTACTACAGAAGAATTTCTTTAGTCTTCATTTATTTCCAGTTTCCTGTCTTCCTAATTTTATTGATGCTGAGGTGGTTTTTGTGGGAGGTTTTGGGGGTTTTTTGGGGATGGTGAGGAGGTGAGTCCTTTTTTCTCTTTCAAGGTAATTAATCAAAAGATTAATTAAACCCTTTAGCTGCAGACATTTATTTTTGACTGTCTATTCCCTCTCAGTTTATTACTTAAAGATTGGTTGTTTGTAATGATTAAATATAAACATCTCAGAAATGCGTAATGATTCCAATTTTCTGCCCAGTTTTCCTTCTCTAGAAACACCTTATCAGTGCAACATAAAGCCCAAGATGACAGCAGTTTACATCTCTTCAGAGACAATAAAATGAAAATAATGTGGTTTATCTTGAGTATATTCCCCTGCAAATAGTTTTACCCTGTCTTTATTTTCACACATGCAAAAATAAAAAAGCACTAATAAGATGACTGCTGTTTATTTAGTTATTAACTTATTTATTTTATTTTTAAAGCTCAGATAGGAATCTCTCTATTACAAATGCTTTCAGGGAAAGTTGTGTGTTGATCGGGTGCCACATAACAAAGAGTCACCTACCTGTTGCCTTTCACCACTGCTTGTTCACAGAGAGGCATTGGTGGGGTTTAGATCCCAGAAGTAAGTTTGTGTTTGGTTGAAGTCACTAAATGATGAGGGGCCATAGAGGCCAGTTATGACACAGCTCCTTGGTTTGTATTTCAGATACAGAACTTCTTTATAAATGGTGCTTTATATGGGTTTTAGTTTACGTGGGATTTTTGTCACATAGCCTCACTGAACAAAACTGCTGTACCCTCGGGAGAAAAGTATCAGCGCTGTCAGAGAACTAATTTTGGGAAGGCAGAGAATAA